GTTCATCTTGGAGTCAATGATGACTCCAAGATCCTTTTCCACCTCCGTGCTGACAAGAGGGGAGTTCCCCAACCTGTAGGTATGGTGCCGGTTGTTCCTCCCCAGGTGCATCACCTTGCACTTGTCTGTGTTGAATCCCATCCTATTCTCATCCGCCCACCCTTGTAACCTGTCTAGGTCAGATTGTACCCTGTTGTTTCCTTCTAGTGTGCCCATGTCCCCCCACATCTTAGTGTCATCAGCAAATTTGAACAGGGTGCTTTTCACCCCCTCGTCCAAATCACTGATGAAGATGTTGAACAGCGCGGGCCCGAGGACCGAGCCCTGTGGAGCCCCACTGCCCACGTCCTTCCAAGCTGAGAAGGACCCATCCACCACCACCCTCTGGTTGCGGCCCTCCAGCCAGTTGGCGACCCATTTGACTGTGTGGGTGTCTATGCCACAGCCCCCCAGTTTCTTAATGAGAACGGGGGTGTTAAGGCGAAGCAGGGTGGAAACTGCAGGGATGGTAGCTCCTGTTCTCACCCTCACAACTCCACTGCAACCAGTAAGCCTTAGGCATCTCAAAGATCTTACAGGTCTTGGCTTTCCCCAGCCAGGACTGTGCGGTGGCTGGAGGTTATCAGGTGCCTCCTGCTTCTACCTGCCTTTCACCAGGGCTGTTCATGGTCTTGGCATTTCCTGGGGCTGCCATGCCACTGGCAGTCCCACCCAGGCCTCCCACCCTGGCAGGGTGCAGTTTTAGGTCATGCCCAGGGTGATGTGGGGCCTCCTCCTCCCCATATAGCCCCAGCCCTGATACCTCCAAGTTCTTCCTGGCATAGGAGCTCAGCAGGTAGATGTTATTCTAATGCTGGCAGTGCTGGTGAGAAACTAAACTGCCACCTTCAGCTCTGAGAGTGGGGCATTAAATGGCCACCCTCATTAGCACCTGTCCTGCCACATACATAGCCCCTTGTGCAGGCATGACGGAGGCCTGCCAGGTTTCAGGCAGAGTGGAGCAGGGGTTTCTGTGAAACTGCACCTCAAACTGCTGAAAGCAAAACTCGTGTTGTGTGTGTTAAAGGGTGTAGGTCATAGCCATGTTGGTCTAAGAACATAGCCCAGACAAGGCTCTTAGGGTCAATCTGATATCTTTTATTAGACCAATGGAATAGTTGGAGAAATTCTTCTTTGCAAGGGTTTAAAAACCCTTCATCAAGCTGTGGAAGCATCTAGTTGGTGTGTGTGTGCTCTTCCTGGATGGAAGGAATAGTAAAGAAACCAGAGGCTGGTATGCAGCGCAGGCAAGAAAGCCAGTCAGTGAAAATGGAAATGGAAGCATCAGGGCATGAGAGACTGGGATGGGGGGAAGGTACCTGACTCCCGAGGTACCTCTCCAATTTCCCCTGCTACTTCCCTCCTCCGTACCTCCCTCCCAGCCTCTCACCCCCTAATGCCTCCATTTCCATTTTCACTGACTGGTTTTCTTGCCTGCATTGCATGCCAGCCTCTGGCATCTTTACTATTCCTTCCATCCAGGAAGAGTGCGCATACACCAACTAGATGCTTCCTCAGCCTGATGAAGGGTTTTAAACCCAAAAGCCCTTGCCTAACAGATGCCATCCCAGGCAGCAAAGCTGAGCTCACCTGGAGCCTCACAACTCCACTGCAACCAGCAAGCCTCAGGCCTTTTAAAGATCTTAGGGGTCTGGGCTTTCCCCAGCCAGGACTGTGCATGTGTGTGGTAGATGGAGGTTATAAAATGCATCCTACCCACTTTTCATGAAGGAGATCCTTGGTCCTGGCATTTCCTGGGGCTCCCGACCCTGGCAGGGTGCAGTTTTAGTGGTCATGCCCAGGACCTGGGGCCTCCTCCTTCCCCATAGCCCCAGCTCATACCTCCAAGTTCATCCTGGCATGGCAGCTCAGCAGGGACATATTCTTCCCCTGCTGGCTGCTGATGCAGTGAGTGCTGCCTGCCTGAGGCTGGGGTTTGATGCATCTGGACCCCACCATGGAAGCCATGCCCTTAGCCCAAATTGGCAGCGGCTGGCATGGATGAGACTGGCTGGTGCTGGGAGTGATGGTATGGGAAAGTAGCTCTCCCTCTTCCACATCCCCTTGCCTCTGCCCTTCTGCCTCCCTGACGCTGTTTACCAGCACCTCCGTCTCCTGATTGAGGGTTTTGGTGCTGCCTGTGTAAATACTCCCCTTCACCCTTGGGTCGCACATTCCCAACAACATGTGGACCATACTGGATCGCAGTGGATCCAGCCATTTTTTGATGCCCTCCTTCAGCCGCTTCATCAGTGCCTGCACCTCTGGTGAAAGCAGCTTGCCCCAGCGAGGAACACTGATCCCCTGGAACTTCTCCCCTGGTATTTCTCCTCCTTGCCCGGCTGGTCTTACATCAGAAGTGCAGGCAGATAGCATACTTGGGATCATCTCCCACCTCAAAATGATCCCACACCACACTGCTCCTTTGCTTCTGGGGTGCAGGTGCGGATCCTGCCTGATTTCCCCCCCTCCTCAGCGGGCAGAGGCACGACAACAGAAGGAGCAGACTCAGCTGAGCTACTTGCCTCTACAACCTCAACCTCCCATGAAGTGCCTTCCTGAGAAGGAGACCTGGCTCTAGGGGAACTTTGAGGGGTGTGGAACACAAACTCAGATTCCTCCTTGGCCTCCAGAGTTTCTTTTGCTAGGGTGCTCAGGTCCCCTGCTTCCAGATTAAGCTCCTCCTCTGGCACTGGAAGGCTCAGGCTGGCAACTGAAATGGGGGTGGAGGAGACCGTCAATGACATGCTGGTGTGCTGCTTGTCATGCCAGTGGTTATTATTATGGCTGGTATTATTGGACAGGGTGCAGATGCAGGCACTGGTTCCACCTCCTTGCTGCCACTAGCCCCGAAAGAAGCCTCATACCTACTAGTGCTAGGGAAGAGGCTGCATCTAAGTTTGGGGAGCAGGGGGGAGGAACTTACAGCTCTCCATCTGCTCCCTCTCCCTCCTCGGCCAGAAGACCTGGCACCTGCCTTTCCAGCATGCTTCATATTGTATGTGCTGGAAAAAAGTGTGTGTGTGCATTTGCATATGCATGTGTGTGTGTAATATTAAATGTATGTGTATTGAGTGCTTTCTAAGCAAAGCACTGCTTTCTTTTTGTTTGCAGGGCAAAAATATAATAATAAAAAATAACAGGATTCTTGGGGAAGGGTAGGCGAGGGTAAAGAAATAGGAAAGGATTGGCAAATGGCTACAACTTGGTAGCAAGGCACTATCAAGCTGCAAGCTTACAGACTGATGCTGCAGTGCTCTCAGTCTGCTGCTCCTGCTGAGACAGACACAACTACAAAATGGCAGACTTAGTTCACAAATACAGCCTTTTTATGCTGTTTCTCTGTCCCTCCTCCAGATCACTGGGCTTGGAAGGGACCTCAGGGACAGGTCATTGTCACTAGCTAGCTACTGATGTCAATATCAGAGCTGTCCTTCCCCCCCCACCTTTTCCCTGCAAGCCCACTTTTGAAACAGCTCAAAACAGCTCTGAAACTTCCGAAACATTTCGG